GGGCCCCAGTCTTAGTGCCCCCGGGTCCCGGATCCTTGTTTGCTGGCGGCGTGAGCCCTCGAACCCCCATCTGTTTATTTCTGCGCGTTCCTCTTGGCAAGAGGAGCTTTTCATCCCAAAGGTGACCCTCGAGGTTAAGCACTCCCGAGCTGTCATCATGGGGCTGTGGTTGTCTAGGAAGTCCCTCGCCTGTCCCTGCTGTCTCTGAAGAATGGTGTGCGTGTGTTTCTGGACGAACCCCTTTGTAAACGCTGGTGGCAGTCGCGTCCTGCCCACAGGGTCCGAAAATGCCGTGGGCCTGAGCCACGCACCACCTGCCCTTGCCTGGCTCTGTGCCTCCTTTCCCCAGGCCCAGTGGGGCTGTCAGAGCGGCCCAGAGGGCTCGGGAGCTCAGGGAGACGCCACAGTATAGCTGGAGCTCCCTGGCTTCCAGCTACTCTCCTCGTGGTCCTGGGTCATAATAAGGGTCTAGAAAGAAAAACTTTATTGCTCAGTCACTGGTTTAGGAACATATAACCTTCAAAAACGTCGTTTTTATCTCAGTTTTATAAACGAAGAAACGGAAGCTGAGGATCGAACAGTCAGAGGCCCCTATTGCCTTGCTGCTGCTTACTGTTTGGCTAGTCTCAGTTCCTGCCTGGCTGAGCTGCCTCTGCGTCATCAGGTCACTTGTGACTCTTTACTGTTCCTGATGCTTCAGTGAAGTGGTTAGAAATTAGAGTGGCAGAAGGCAGAAGGAGCTGGGAGCAAGCCTCCCAGTTATTACTGTGCAAAGGGAGCCACTTGGTAATTATAAAGTGTGCTTCTTTGGGCGGAATGACCGGCTTTTCTCTTCCCTTTCATGGTTAGATGGAGCGACCAGCTATCTCTGCGATATGGAAACTGTTGATAGCTTTGTAGCATGCATCTCCATGTCCTGAGTTCATGATTATTTGGGTTTCCATGGAGACACTGAATCCTCTCAGAAGAGTCAGAAGATACTCTGATTACATTTCTGGTGTAGGCATTAGGGAAAAGGAAAGATGTTTCCTGCTTTGGGGACTCTGTCACCACCTCTTTTGTGTGGCTCGTGCTCGCCAGTGTCCCAATTCCTGTGCTGGGCAAGATGAGAAATGTTTCTAAGTGTATGATTTATATACTGGAGTCGTGGGTCACTAATTTAGATTGGTATAAAACAAACACATTTTGGCTTTACTGCAAGGCATTATGCATTTGGAATCTTGTAGCTCTGTGAAGCTTATTACAAAATCATGGTGGTCTCTAGCAACTGCCTGCTTCCAACTCTTCTGTTTTTTTCCCTATTTCTTTTTGAGGTCCTTGAACCCAGGGCCTTGCACATTCTAAGTGAAGTGTTGTGCCACTGAGCTATCTCCCCAGCTTTCTTTTTACTGTTTTGAGACCGGGTCTCATTGTTACCCACACTGGTAATGAACTCTCAGAGTAGCCTCCTGAGTGGATAGCTGGGGTTATAGGCCTGTGCTACCAAGCACAGCCATTTTTTATTTGTCTTTATTTTGGGACAAGGTTTCACTTTGTTGCCCAGGCTGGCCTCAAACTCCTTGGCTCAAGTCATCCTCCTGCCTCAGCCTCCTGAGTATCTGGGACCACAGGTTTAATACCATCATATTTGTCCGGTATTTCTCTATCTTTGACTAATGTGCTTTTATTGACACTAATTGAGGTTCTTTTCAGTTTTTTCAGATTTATTTTTATTTTATGAGAATGAGTGTTTTACCTACATGTTGAATGTTTGTGCACTGTGTGTTTCTGGTGCCCATGGAGGTCAGAAGAGGGTGTTCCATCCCTTGGAATTGGAGCTGCAGGTGGTTTTGAGCCACCATTTATATGCTGGGAACTGAACTGGGTCTTCTGGTAGAGCAGCAAGTGCTCTTAGCTAGAGCCATTTCTCCAGCTTTTTAAAATTTTTAATATTTAAAGAGTTTTTAACTTGGCTCTTGGTTTTGTTTCTACTTTCCTAACACACACACACACACACACACACACACACACACACACAGCCATCTCTACATGGTCTCGCAGTTGTCAAAATCTGTGTATGATGTCAGGCCTGTGGAAAGTGGTGCTCAAAGCTGACCCACATTGCTTCTCCTGGATTGTTTTTTTCTCTCACAGTGTAGCTAGTACAGTCCTTCATCATCACATTCCCCTTGGGGCCAGAGACCTACTTTTCTCTGACTTGCCTGCTGCCTTTGCTGTAGGCTTGGCCAAAGCCTTGGTGTGTTGGGAGGGTCCTGGGCATCACCTCAGACACTTCTAGCCTCTCTCTTAAGTGGGAGTCAGGGTCATGTTTTGACTTACCCCTCTTGGAAGGACTTACCCCCCTTTGTAGAGCTCATCTATCGGCTTAAGAAAAGACAAGTGAGCCAGGTGTGGTGGCACACGCCTTTAATCCCAGCCCTCGGGAGGCAGAGGCTAGCTGGGGCTACAAGGAGACCCTGTCTCAAAAAGACCAAAAAAAAAAAAATTGATAAATAAAAATTGTACATACTTGTAGTGTACATTGTGACATTTCCACAGGTGTATATATTGTGTAATACTTAAATCAAATTAAGCATATGTACAAACATTTAGCAGTTCCTGGGCTAGAGATGTAGCTTAGTTGTTGAAGTACTTCCATGCAGGAAGCCCGGGGTTCAATCCTTAGCACTACATAAAGGGATGTGGTAGTGCACACTATAATCCCAGCATTTAGGAGGTGGAAGCAGGAGGATCAGAAGTCATGTGCCTCAAACAAACAAACAAACAAACAAAACAATAGTATCTGGTCCATTATTTGTTTAATGTTATTTTTGGGGTATGGGGAGACAATCTCCTGCTTAACCCAGGCTGCCCTGAGTTCTGGTATCACAGGAGGGAAGTGCCTTCTGCTTACAACAATATCAGATTCCTGATTCCAGTACAGAGTATCTTTTCTTAAAAAGGTATTATTTGACTGTTTTGTTTCTCCTTCCCCTTTGTTTTTGTTTCTTTTTGTTAGTAATTCTGTATTGCTCTCTGGAGACTTTCTTCAAATGTATGAATGAGGTCTGTTGACTTCTTTTTCTTATTTGAGAGATGGCTATGGAAAGTTCTTTGTAACATCCATGTGCCATGTTGGAGGTGTGAGTGCTTGGTAAGTAAGGGTTCTGTACCCTGCTAGCCAACATGCTTTGAAAAATGGTGGAGGCAGCCCCCAGTTTCAGATTTATTAATTTTTGTGCAACTGAGGACTTGACATAGGGCTTCACCCTGCCAAGCAAGGCGTTAGATTGTCTCTAATTCTTATTTCATAGTCATATTTTTTTCAACTGAATTTTATTTTTGGTAAGGTTTACATGTGCCTAATTTTGAGCAACTTGTTTAAAAGGAGGGCAGTAATTCTGCCTCATTTCCTCCCCCTGCTCCCGCTCTTTCCAGTTCCTTTCTCAGTATTTTTTGGTGGGAGAGGAAACTTTATGAAGGTTTTTTATCCTTGGCTTTCTCAAATACAGCAGTGTGCCTTTCTGTCTTTGCTCATCATACTGGACTTTTTGAATCTGGAAGCTTCTTGCAGTTGTGTTTCCTAATGCCATTTAAAATCATTCCTTCTGCTTTGCCATCCCTTGCCTCCTCACTTTCTTTTCTCTCTCTCGAGACACGTATTTTCACACTGTAGCCCAGGCTGATTTCAAACTATGAAATCTTCCTGCCTTAGCCTTCTGAGTACTGGCTTATAGATCTGTGCCACCATGCCCAGATTATTATTTTCTTTAATTATTTTCTGTTGGCTACTTCTTGGATCAAACTTCCAACTTTTTTTCTTTTTTTCTGTTTTTTTTGAGACAGGGTCTCCCTGTAGCTCCAGCTGGCCTAGAATTTGCTATATAGACCAGACTGGCCTGGATCTCACAGAGAATCTGCTTGTCTCTGTCTTCTGAGTGATGAGATTAAAGGCACTTAGCCCCATACCCAGCTGTAACTTTTTTTTTTGTCTTTTTGAAGCAGGGTCTCCCTGTAGCCCCAGCTGTCCTGGAACTCACTCTGTAGACCATGCTGGGCTTGAACTCACAGAGATCCGCCTGCCTCTGCCTTCCAAGTGCTGGGACTACAGGCGTGTGCCACCATGCCTGGCTCATCTGTAACATTTTTAATGAATTAATTCATTTAAAAAAATTTGTTTTGGTGTTTTTGGGACAGGGTCTTCTTGTAGCTCCAGCTGGCCTGAAACTTGCTATGTAGACCAGGTTGGCTTTGAACTCAGAGATCCGCCTGCCTCTGCCTCCTGAGTGCTGGGATTAAAGGTGTGCACCACCACAATGGGCTACAAGGAAGGTAGATCTCTATGAGTTAGAGGCCAAGCCTGGTCTGTGTCGTTGAGTTCCAGGGTAGCCAGGGCTATAAAGTGAGACCCTATCTCAAACAAACAAACAAACAAACAAAGACCTGTTTTTTATTTTATGTGTGTGCTTGAATGTCTACATGTGTACTATGTGTACAGGTACCTGTAGAGGCCAGAAGAGGTCATTGGCTCCCTTGGAACTAGAGTTATAGGTGGTTGTGAGTCACCTGATATGGGTGTTGGGACTCAAACCTGGGTCCTCTGCAGAGCAACAAGTTCTGTTAACTGCTGAACCAT